GCAGGACCTTGCACTTGGTCTTGTAGAACTTTGTGAGATTCACATGGGCTTACTTCTCAAGCCTGTCAAGTTCCCTCTGGATGACATATTGTTTATCAGCTGCACCAGGAGTCCCTGTTGTGTGATCCGACTGGGCACTGAGGTGAGGCTGACTGGTGAGTAATTCCCAGAGTCCTCCTTTTTACCCTTTTTGTAAAAAGGGTGCTATGTTCCCTTTCCTTCAGAGACTGGGGACTTTCCCTGACTCCTGAGACTTTTCAGATACGATGGAGAGTGGCTTGGCAGCTACGTCAGCCAATTCCTTGGCCCGTATCCCTTTAGATTGTGAATTCGGCCAGGGCATGACCACTGCAGCCCAGGCTGCCACTGATCTTGACCTCTCCAGTTAGTTCATCTGTGCTGGTAAGCAAGAGTTCCAGTAACGCTTCTCCTCTGGTTGGGCTGACTGTCACTTGGATTAAGAAATTACCCTCAATGCCCTCCAAGAGCCTCCTGGACCGCGTACAGCTTGCTGTGCTGCTTTTCCAGCAGATGTCAAGGTGACTGAAGCCCCCCAGCTGGATCAGAGCCTGTGAGCCTGATGCTTCCTGCAGTTGAAGGAGGAAGGCTTCATCAGCAGGCTCCCCTGGGTTGGATGGCTGGTAATAAACACCAGCCATGAGGTTTCTTTTGTTGGCTTGGCCTCTAAATTTTCACCCACAAGCTCTTGACCTGTTCATCTTTGTCTTTCGCAGACAGCTCTGTGCGGTCATTCCATAGAGGGGAAATTGCACTCCTCTCCTTCCTCACCTGTCTCTTTTAAAGAGTTTGTTGTAGCCATTGATTGGAGCACTCTAGCCATGTGAATTGTCCCACCAAGTTTCAGGGATAGCGATTAGATCATAGCTTTCCAGCTGCACAGTGGCTTCCAGTTCTTCCTGTTTGTTACCCATGCTACGTGCATTGGTGTAGAGACATTTCAGTTGGGCTATCGACTGTGTCACCTTTGTAGAGGAAAGAGCCCTAATTCCTTTGGGACATTTCACAGGTTTGTCTGTGTAGGTTGCTAATGCATCAACAATACACATCAGCTAGTACATCCCCTGACTCTTCTTGTTACTCAGAACTCCGTATCTTCCCTCTGTAAGTCTAGTTTCTTCTGCCTTTGAAGATAAAAGTATTCTTCAGGGTCTTCCAGAAAGACTGTAGATACAGCACAACACTTGGAATTCCAGTCCCCCTTTCTTATAAGACTTCCAGTCTGGAGTTTCTTTCCACAGAGATTTTACACTGATAACTTATCCATGTGGATCAAATTTTCTGTAAAGTCGATTCAATTGGGAGGGCGAATTTTTTCCTCAGCAGGAGGGGGCTGGGATTTTGGCAAACCCTTAGTCATTCCTTTCCTTCTTGATATGCTTAGGAAAAATGTAGAAGTATCCAGGATTTGTCTGAATACATCAGGGATCCACCTCACCTTTCTATTCAAGAATCAACTCTTAGAAGAAATGTATACTTTGGTTGCTCGTGTTGTCCAAGCAAACTAACTTACAAGGAACTGATCAGCTCTACAGCTTCTGAAGGCAGTCACTTAGACAGTAACTCATGGTGAAGAAGAATAAAAATTAAAACTGAGAGAAAATAGAGGCTTGTCCTTGAATATTGTTCTCTCATGCTAGTTAGAGAAGCCTGGGGTAGTTCTCTATGTTTGGAGTTTGACAAATTATGGTCTCCCCTAATAATGAATTAGAAAGGCAGCAGTCCTTCAGTGTGGAAAAATCCTGGTGTTTTCCTAAGGGTTAAATCTTTCATGGGAACAGGCTGTGTTTTCTTAAATATTAGGGTTTGTTGCTTATGTACTTCTCTTTTTGTGTAACGTTCTGTCTGCCGAGTACTCATGAGAGAATCTGATGTTCCTGCTGCCTCGGAAGGGCTGTAGAGGGTTTTGGGTTTGGGGGAATTGTTTGTTTCATTATTGTACCGGGGCTGCTCTTCAAATTCCTTAGTAATGAACTTGCTTGTGACATCATGGGCATATTCGGTACGGTTTTGTCCCAGAGAATGATAGGGTTATTTTTATACAACTAGTGACTTTTGGGTGTTTTTGGCAAAGATTATGACAGGGATAAGTTTGTCCTTATCACTCTGTCCTGCTAGGCCAATTGCCTTTATGACTAGACATTGTCAAACTGTTCAGAAGTTCCTCAAATAGTTTGCTTACGGACTTACCAGAAAATTTATCTCAACTGTTTCAAAAAAACAGAAAATTTATCTCAGCTATTTCAGTTTCTGAACTTTCCGATAACCTGTGGTTATCTTTTTCTTTCAGAATGGTACTCAGAAGAACATTTTCTGGCCCATTCTAAACTTTTTAAGAAAAATGTTCCCTGTATTGTCTCAGATGTGTAGGTTCTCCAGCTTCCTACTTCCAACTCTGAGCTCTTAGTCTTCTAATCTTCCTTGTCTCCTGATTCAAAGCCAATTACTTCTTTCAGATAAAATGTATTTCCAGAGCAGTTTGGAAATACTCTATTAATTATTGTATTAGTCTAGTTTAAGCTCAAATTCACTTCCATGGCATTTTTAGATTACTTCCGCACAGAACATAAATGATTTTTTTTTTTTCTTTTGATGGTGGAATTCTTTGGGCTGTGATGAAATTATCCTCTGAAGTCTTCTCTCATTTCTCTGGACTTTCTATTTGTTTCAAATAATTCTTCTGTAAGTGTGAATTCTGCTACAAGTGTTGAGTGTTTCTTCCCTCTCCTCTTTTGTATATAGTTTTTCTCTTGTATAAAACCCATTTTTTTCCTAATTGAGGAACCAATGCCAATGGTTTTGTTTCCTAGTGGGTTCATGGGTCCAAATTTCCAAGTGAGATGAAACAGAAAGTTAGTGTTTCATCGTGTATAAACTGAACTGCTGATGCGAAACAACTGGTGATTTGAGGTGGTCTGAGGTCTCAGACTACTAATTCTTCTATCCAACTGTAAATATAATTTAAGGAGAAGAGAGTGGTTCTAAATTTTGGTTTCATCTTTGTTTGACTGTTACCAGTTACCTAATGGGAATTTCTTCATGGCTGTGTTTAAGAAGACTCCAACTAGAAGTCATGCAAGGTTCCATCTGCAGGGAGAGTGTGCAGGTGGCATGTTGGGGATGGGAGGGGACAAAATAAGAGAAGTTGCTGATTAGTAGTTTTCTTTACTGATTGTTTGTACAGCAGAAGAAATCCCATTAGCCTAGATAGTCAAACACCTCATTGTAAAAAGAAAAAAAAACAACCATTTTTGAGAGGACAGTGTTCATGTACAGAAATACTTTTTTCCTGTAGGTACAGTAACGCACTTTTCTAAAATACATGGCATTTGACTTTTTCTTTGTTTTGACAGGAAAAAGTGGCCCCGAGTGCAAGCACTGTAGGGCTGATCCAGATAAGGAGTGCCGGTTTTGTTCGTGTTATTTGTGTGGTGGAAAACAGGATGCTCACATGCAACTCCTGTGTGATGAATGTAATATGGCTTATCACATATACTGCCTGAACCCTCCCTTAAGCAAGATACCAGAAGATGAAGACTGGTAAATATACAAGGATGATTTACTTATCTGTATTGCCATTCCATACAAGGTACCTCTTTGTTATTTTCAGCTTGTGAGAGATGGAGCTGAGGGATTTTTTAAGTCTGCTGTTTTTCATCCATCTACTTAATATAAACCTTATATTTTCTGTCAAGGTAATTCTTTTAAATCATTCATTAAGGATTAGTAGTAAGCTGTAATGACCAGTATGGAGTTTCAAAACTGATAATGTTCGTTCTATTCATTATGATCGTTATGATCTTCTGTGACATTATCTGATCTGTTTGTGTTTATCAACAGTGATTGTTCCCCAGCCTTTAAATTTTGTTCAAGCTTCACTGCTTGAACAATTCTCTTACCCTCACCCTT